GAGAGAGAGAGAGAGGGTATTTGTCTGCATATGTTTTGTGTGCTGGTATGTAGTGAGATAATAGATGGTGGGTTTCTGTGAAACCAGACAACCATGGTCCAGGATGGAGAGAGGTGCCGGCTCAGGACCCTGTGGTCCAAGAAGCGGCTGCCCATGCCGTCAAGACCATTCAGCAGAGGTCTAACTCTCTTGCTCCCTATGAGCTGCTGGAGATACTTCTTGCAAGGGCCGAGGTCGATCATATTCTTTTCCTTTGTTTCTCTCTCATCTATTTTCTCTCTTATCTATTGGGTTGCCACTATTTTGCGCTCGTTTTTTCCCTTTCACTCGCTCACCTGTTTTCTATCCCGTCTTACTTGGTTCAGCTGTTCTCTCGGTTGCTTGCATTAACTGGAGAAGAAACTGCTCGTTTGCTTTTGTGCTAATGTCATTGGCGGGGATTTCGTTTCTTTTTGTTATTTTACAGGTGATTGAAGAGAGTGCTAAGTTTGACATGCTGCTGAAGCTGAAGAGGGGAAACAAGGAGGAAAAATATAAAGTAGAAGTGCATAAGAATCTTGAGGGAAGCTACCATTTGAATCATATGCAGCAGCATCATTCTGAATGTGAAACCCAGTAAAATAATTTTGTGATAGTTTTGCATAAGACTTAAGTTGCTTATATAGACTCTTTTACTTGTTCAAGTGAATAAATATATGTAAATAATCTAGTGTGAGAGTTGCATGTGACAGCCACCATGTCTGCTACTTAGAAATCAATGATGTGGGTGGATCATTTCCATGCCTTAATACCTTATTAGGCAGTGAATCTTTATGAGAGCACTCCAGAATTTAATGTTGGCTTGTTTGCGTGGGATTCATGTATGCAAGTGAATGGCATATCATGAGATTACATCCTCACCTTGTGGGTATCGGTTTGCCAGCCATAACTCTCTCACACACTCTCACAAATCCTGAACCTGTGATCAATTCTCCCAAAATTATAATGTTTAGACAAGTCATTCTCTGAAAATTTGATCTGCTGCTTATTATCGTCTCTGGTTTTCTATTGGAGGTTTTCAAATGAAATTAGGAAAATCTGAATTTTTCTTTTCGTGGTGCATAAACTGCTCACCCTCCTACATGTTGGCTAAAAAATAGTCGAATTACGAAACCATCTTGGAACAGAACGGTTCTGAGTAGGGTGGACGGTGGGTCTCATATCCTAAACCAAGAGGGCAATTTTGTACTTCAAATCAGTGATCCGAAACCCAGATTAGCAGGGAGGATTATTCACCCAACAGATGCATGTCGAATCATTGGATTGTCAATGCGGATTGGTATAATCGCTGAATCAATGATATAGAAGGATGTTAACGAATAAATACAAAAGAGGTGGACATAGAGGGAACATAGAAAACATAGAGGGGTTGGGACATAGAGGGAACATAGAAAACATAGAGGGGTTGGGACATAGAGGGAACATAGAAAACATAGAGGGGTTGGGACATAGAGGGAACTAAAAAAGCATTAGATAAATAATTTTTTCTTTTTTTTTTCACAAAAGAACAAAGAAAAACATAAAAAAGAGATTTTAGTGGGGTACTAGGGACCCATCTCCATCCCATATTAGAACTGGTCCGGTCTTTACATATTCCCATCCAGATTGTCAATACGATTTAAGAATTGCTGGGTTTTAAAACATTGTTTAAATTTAAGAAATGAACAATAGATGGGAGGTTAAACACTCCAATGATAAATCTAACCTCCAAGCCGGTCTCCCGTGCCATTTGAAGTGGTATTGTACAGAAGTTAAACTGAATTAAAACGTGCTAACTTATTTTTTACCATGGTCTGTTTACGCACACAATCTCTCTTTTACCATGGTCTATCTGTATACACAATCTCTTTCAAAGGAAGTTCCTGATACGCAAGATCTTAATTATTTATAAAATTTTTATTGAAGATTAACTTTAATATAGATGAAAGTGCTGGGTTGAAACGATTGGTCTATTGAGATTGGCATCAACTAGCTCAATGGCGGATTAATCAACCTTGCATATATTTTTTATTCCACTTCCAACGTGTAAGCAACACCCCAGTAATCAGTGGAAAAATTTCATGTGACATGAGACTTGTAATTGCATCCAAATTTACATTTGGGGTATAAATACTTAGAGCATCACAAAACGACGCATAGAGAGAGAAGCAATGCAAAGTCTCCAAGAGGTGATACAAATGTAAATGCATATAATGAGACCATTTATCTTTGATACAAAATCACAATCGTTCTCGACTATTGGATGTAAAGTTGAGTAATCGTGGATATCAAGCTACAAAATCCAAAATAAAATTTCTCAAATATTGTGACATTTTAATTTATTGGATATTGCATCTAATTGATTCAAAATGATTATGACCTCTTTATACCACAACTAAAAAATATCATAATATACAATCCCGATACAAATATATAATAGATGAAGTCTAGTGGAATTGGTACTCAAAATAACTAGGATCGGTTATGTAGAATTGGGCAATATAGAAACAGCTCTCTCTCTCTCTCTCGGTATAAACTATGGGCAATAACTAAGATTAGTTACGTTGAATTGTGCAAAATTACAACAGAGTTACAGAGCTCTCCCTGAACTGAGTTGCCTTTGCGCCGACCATTAAGAGAGAGCTCCTCCCTACTAGACTATACACTCCCGTATAGAATAGAGGAGGTCGAGTACTACGACTACAAGAGGTATGAAGCGGCTGACAGGTGAAGGAAAGCTCACATAAGCTCGTTTTCCAAGCCGGATCGATCACGTAGTGGTGCAGGGAAGCTAGCTTCCACTGCTACTAGTACTAGTTCAGTGGCAAAGGTCGGGGCCCCTTCCCTACTAGTTGATATTCAGGGAAGAATAGTCCCTCCTCCAGAGCTGCAATCAGCCGCTTCCTCTTGTAGTCGTCAGCTCGCTCTTGACAGCCCAATCGGGTGTTTCTAATGCATGAAGCCAAATCGAACCTTAGCATGCCGGTTGATGCCTTACCAGTTGGCTATACCTCGCTCTTCCCTCCTGTGAGAGGATGAATTCATCTCTACACCTCTGTGAGAAACTTGCAAGAAGGCCTCATGGATGGGGCCATATGCAAAGAGACTGCTAACAAATCTCCCTCTCTCTCTCTCTCTCTCTCACATGCATAAAGGACAGATTATCTAAAAACCATCGATTTGAAGGCAGACTTGCATCTCAAAAATCTGAACCCACATTTGAATCTTCACCTGTTCTCTCTGCTATTGGGCTTCAGATTTTTCATATGGACCTCCTTAAACAAATCATGGGAAAGAGAAACAAGAAAACTATCTTGATTGGTGAAAAAGAAAATATTGATGTGCACAATGGCTGTGAATAAACACATCTCAGGCCTGTGATATATATTACAACTTTCTGAAGAAGAAACCAGACTTCAAGAAATCACCTAACAGAAAGAAAAATGTAAGAAGGGAAGAAATCTTAGTTAGTTATCCCCATGGTTTGAGTGTATATGTTATGTGTTGTGTTGTGTCTACTCTAGATCTCTAACAAGACCATCTTAGAAAGAGAAATGAAGAATTGGGTCATCACTAACCTCAGGCTATCCACTGTTACCCTTACCAAGCTTCACTGCTCCACTCCTAGTCTTGATTGGGCCTCCATCCTGCAGCAGCCACAAGCAAGAGGTGTTCGAATATATGTATGTGCAATTTCTTAAACATAAAAAGCCACAGTTCTAGAAAGAAAAAGAGGCATGACTAAGGCCATAGTAAGTATACGCCACTGGTTCATGTCTCTCCAGTGAGGTGTGGAGCATGGGTTTTGTGATGGATTTATTTTCCTGAGTTCATAACAAGATTTTGAGAGAGGAACAAAGATACAAGTCAGGCAACAGTGACAACCCAAGCCTAGTGAACGGCTCTGCAACGAGTAAGGCATTATAATAATGCCGGAACTTCTGACAACATTGCCCTAGAGAGAAACAAAGACAAGTGATACAAAGACCTCAGGGTACCGGCGTTCATACACAGGGTGGGGTTGTGCCATAGTGATGGGGCATGTTCTTATCACTGAGCTAAGTCTCAACAAGACTACGAGGAAAAGCATACTTTCATGGAAAGACTTTATAGAGAGAAACAAAGACTGAGAAACAAGCTACAACATCTGAACGTGTTATGTGCCTGAAATTCTAACAACATAGAAATCTGAGGCCACTGCCTTTCACACTCAGGGTAGAGGTATTCAAGCCTTGTACACGGTGCGCACTTCATTACATTCTGAGTTCTAACAAGACGCAAAAGGCAGAAACAAGGATGAGACGAGAGTAAACTTACTTAAGGCCACCAGAAACAGAAAAAAAAACTTCATGTGGAGAAGCAAAGGCTAGAAACCATGATGCCAAGACTGCTAAACTTCATCCTCATGGTGGTGGTATGCACATGTCATATTGTACCAGTGTCATAGAACTTTCAAAGAAAATCACTAAAATAAGGAAACATTACATCCATGCACCATATTTAAATATGGCATTTATGGACTGAAATTTTATGGAATATTAATGTGAAAGGACACCAGTCCGATATTGTATTTACAATATCGGAACGGTCTTTTGCGCGTCCTTTTTTATTTTTTTCCTTACCCCTCGGTTCGATGTTCCAAACTGTTTTTTATTTTATTTTATTATTTGAATTATAGAAAGATTTCCAGTCCAAAGAACGGTCTGACATCACAGAACTCGGACCACAAGACTTCCTTAGAAAAAAAGGAAGCTATGCGGTTCGAGGTCTGTGACCTTGGACCGCAATCCTTCCCTCAAAAAATACCTTATTCTCTCTCCTTTTTCTTTGTTCTCTCTCTATCTCATTTTTTGTTAATTCATGTATTTTAGCAATGCAATGAGGTTTTATATATAGAGAGAGACCTACATCACCAACCTGCACCGGCTCCTGGCAAGACATGAAGGTGACAAAGGGAATAGATAGACGCCCCAAGAAGGCCATTTTGGTGAGTGTCAACACACCAATAATTGAGCTAGTGCAGGTTGGTGATGCAAGTCTCCCTCTCTAAATAGAACCTCAAGGCTTCCTTTTTTTTAGGAAGCCTTGCAGTCCAAGGTTTGTAACCTTGGACCACTCTCTAAACTGGGAATTTCCCTATAATTCAAAGAAATTAAAAAAAATTGAAAAGCTGGTCCGATGTTTGGAACATGGGACATAGAAGTATACTTGGAAAAAAAAAAAAGGATGACCAAGCACTGGTCCGATGTTGTAATATTGGACTGGTGTACTTCTGTGTATATTTTACATAGAATTGTATCAATCCGTAAATACCATATTTAAATATGGTATGGACGCAATTGAAATAAAGACACGGACATCATGGAGAGAGAAACAAAAACAGGGTTTACTAAACAGCAATGAACACAAATCCAAAAAAGCTCTCATCTCCAAGTGAAGCACAAACCCCATATGCCTAAAGTTCAAACACGAATGTTCAAACAAGAGAAACATGCATAAGACAGATGCCCCATATGCCCAAACTTCAAAATGAGAATGTCCTGAGGGGAAAAAAAGAAACAAAGAAAGAAACACCATACCCATGCCCCACATGCCTGGACTTATTCTAAAAAGCGAAACAAAATGAAAGACAAAATGATCATCATAGGCATGAGCAACTAACCTCCCACTCCAGCCCTCCTAGCCCTCTTCATTATCATAGTCCTCATCATCCACCTTCGTATCAAGCTGTGCAAGCCGAAGATGATCGATTGTCATCCCTTTCATCTCTGATACTGACCAACCGGGATACTCCTCATGCTTGGGCTCAGTCTCACTCTCGGGCTGAAGCTCGGGCTCAGGCTTGGACTTGGGCTTGGGCTCACTAACAGAACCCGAACCGGAGGCCATGTCACCATTCTCGTCCAAATCTAGGTTCAAGTCAAAGTTCCTCACTACATGGACCGAAGGGTCTTGCTTGGCCTCTGTTTCTTCCTCTAACCTTTCGGCCCTTGGCTTTTCACTGTGTTGTGGTGATATGGTGGGGTCGTCCTCACACTTCTCGGCGTGAGCCCCACTATCCTTCTCATGGGCTCGACCTCCCCGCCCACCCCTGCCTCTTCCTCGGCCCCTCCCGCGCCCTCTGCTGCCACCTTGTGGGGCCTCCTTTAGAATACAAGACAGAAGAACCTTAGCCTATGACATTTTTGAAAAAAAAATTTCTTTTTTGTTTCTTGATCATATTTTATTTCTTTTATTTTCTAGATGACCTTCATAAGAAAGAGACTGAAATGAGTGAGAAGCCATATGTTATGCCAGTTTTCTTGAAAATAAAAAGAAAAGATCCTGATGTTGCATTATATTGTTCAGTATCATCACTTCGGAAAAGACATTTTTTCTTGAGAGGATAATATTTAAAGACTTAGTTCAGTGTAAATTGCCTGCATCTTTGAACCACCACACCACAAGGATAGCGAATGAGTTCAAATCATTGGCACAGGAAGGAAAATAGAGGACTGACAAGTTTTACCGTTCTGGTCCTCTTGGAATCCTCATCGCTATCATTATCTTCGTCATCAACAGCTTTTCTGAAGGAAGAAAAGGCAATTAGTTCCCCTGGAAATGAATACTAAACCAAGGCATTCACACACTAAATATAAAGTACATGCAAGATTTTACAATAGAGAAAATATAGCATAGTCCTTGGGTTAAGGTACATGGTACTCCATGGATAAATCCACTTCCATTCCCCAGACAGATGGTTGGAGATTAATGCAGCTTGGTTAAGGTCCCCATGGGGCCCACTCTAGTTTTAACAGATAGGGGATGTGGCCTTGGAGTACTATATACGTAGTCTGTTTCAGAACTGTATATTTCCTTTTATATTATGAGAAAAATAGTACAGTAAAAACAAGTTCGGGCATCTCAAACCTTCTCTTGGAGGCTGTCCTATCATCTCCAGCTGCATCTGAACCACCCAAATCAGGCACTTTGTTCACAATGTCTCTCAAGAAATCAAACACATTGTAGCTCTGAACACATTGTTTTCTGGAAAATCCAAGGGGATTATCTGTTATATATAAACTTTATAAAAGAAAAAAGAAAAGGAAAATCAGAATCCCGCTTTGTTTCCATTTCTTATTCAAAACCCAATATACCAGCATTGATATACAAGTTGCATAACTCAGGGCAGCCATCAGAGATGAGGCTACAGCAATAAAAAAAGAAGAAAAAACAACAGAGAAGGATCCAAAACCAAATTCTGAAAATATGTTCTCGAGTATTCAGAAATATCCATTTTTTGTGGCTTTCGAGCCCTGCTCATTAAGAAAGCATTGCATATAGTTTCTTGGGAGCTTGCTTGTCTTCGGCTCAAAAGCCAAGAAGCAAGGGCGCGTTATCGCATCCGTTTTCTTGCAAGAAGCAAGCGCTAGCCTAGCGCTAGCATTAGCGCAAAGTGCAGGATATACAAGAGAGTGAAACTCATACTAGTGCAGTTTGGCCTTACGCAAGTATGCAAAACCAAGAAAATAGTACGGCACTCAAAAAATGCAACCTGCATGGACCTAACTTTGAAAAAAAGTGATATTCCATTTGTTTCGAGAAAATAACAAAGCTATCCTATTTATGTGGATGAGATAACATCTAGCCTTATTTCAACAGTCTGAACCATGTATAACGATAAAAAAAGACAAAATTAATCTTATACATACACTCTTCACCAACAAGTTCAACTTGCCCTCGGCCCTATGGTAATAAGGTAGTAAAAAATGTCTTGAATTTTTTTTTTAATGGCATAAAATCTCTTCACTTAACTTTGACTAATCTTTTAATGGGCAAACATGGATGTATTAGTCACTTCAAGAGCTACTAATATCAGGTGTGCACAATTATTAGTGGATACATTTAAACATACACCAAAATAAATTTATGTAGTTAAGAAATCATGTTTTCTCAAGAAACTGTTCCCAAAATATTATTAATCTAGGAAAATATATAGGAAAAAAGACATGTACCCCCCTACTGATTATAATTCCAAATAAACCCTCCAATCTATAGAAAGTCCATGGACCCCCTCCAAACTAAAAGAAAAGAGTGTTTTCTCAAGAAACTGTTCCCAAAATATTATTAATCTAGGAAATATATAGGAAAAAAGACATGTACCCCCCACCCTATTATAATTCAAAAATAAACCTTCAAGTCTATAGAAAGCCCACGGACCCCCTCCAAAATAAAAGAAAAGAGCATTTAGACCCCTCTCGACCTTTTTCATTATTCAAATTACAGGATTTGCCTTCTTTTATTTTTTCTAATGACCCCATCATCCAAACACTAGAAAAGCTCCACCTCTCTCTCTTCCTCGCTAGTGAAACCCTGCTTCCCCCCTCCTCTCTCTCTCTCTCTCTCTCTCTCTCTCTCGTGAACCTCACAAGTAGGTTAAAGTAGAAATCCAAGTTCCATTAAGATGATGGGATTAAAAAAAAAAAGAATCAGACACATATTGTAATTTAGACAATAAATAAGATAAGGAGGGTAAACATCCTTTTGTTTTAACTGGGAGGGGGTCCATGGGCTTTCAATGAACATGAAGGTTTATTTGGGATTACAATTATAGAAAGGGGGTATATGTCTTATCACCTAATAAATACTGCTTGCCTAAAATAAAAAGGAAAATTTGTTCTGTTTGCATCCTCTCAAAATAATTATTTAAAGCCAAATAGCTTAGACCTCGTAGCTCTCATACTTAAAGAAATCAAACATTATTTAAAATTAAGCATGCAGCTACAACCTCTATGGGGCCAAGTCTTACAAGATTCATTCAAGTGTCAACCTTTATGTTGGATCCCCACCCCAGAAAATGGAGTTGATTTGTGATTCTGCTATGTTATCAAAATGTAGCCGCATAATGCGGTACTCGGCACCTCAGTTGCACCCTCACACACGGGGATTTATAATGTGGCTGCATCACATCAAGGGTGATGCACCCGCATATGTACCCTTACTCATGGGCAGAAGTTTTGCCACAGGTAGTGGCAAAATTGTAATTTTTCCCAAGGGTGGGAGGAAGGATTTGGAGGATTTAATATAATACCTCTGCCACCCCCCCCCCCAATCACTCCCACCACCTTACCCCACCCTGCCCCAAAAAAAACAGAAAAAAAGAGACAGAGAGCACCATACTTCTATAGTTCTAAGGGGACTGAATTTAAAAATAAAAAATAAAGAAATTATGCTTTCAAAATTTTCAAAAGAGTTTGGGGTTTAGTCTTGAATTTTTGGTGGACTGTTGGATATTGTTTGGGCTTCATTTTGAAGGTTTTATGGTGAAGATTCATAAATTACAGGGTTTGTTCCAAGAATTCAAGCAGTCGGAAATTAATTCCTAGAAATCAATTTTTTTTTCACTTTAGGAGTTGAGACTTGAGAGTTGAGGGTTAGTTGGGAGTTGAGACATATCTTATTAAGACGTGAGAGTTGGCACATTGACTCATTGAGCTAGAATGTATATATTATCTTTTATATTTTATATGGTCTTTGGAGTTTGTAAGCTATGTTTACGTTGTGGTCGTGAACTTCTGATTGTGAAGCATTTTTGGTCTTTAAATATTATGTTAAATTGATAATTTTGGGAGGACATGGATGGAATAATCCAAGTCGATACCAAATGCAGAGAGGACCATTTTAGGAGGGGACGTAAATGGTCATGTAGGGAAGTATAATAGAGGATATGAAGGGGTACATGGGGGATATGGGTTTGGGGAAAAAAATGAGATGGGTGAGGCTATTCTAGATTTTGCTATGACCTACGACCTACAAATAGCAAATACTCACTTCAAAAAGCAAGACGAACATTTAGGAACCTATAAAAGTGGATCACATAAAAGCCAGATAGACTTATTCCTAGTTAAGAAGGTAGATCGACCATCATGTAAAGACTACAAGATTAACTCATGAGAGAGTTTGACTTCCCAACATAGGCTCGTGATTATGGGCACTTGCATAAAGACATGGAAGAGAAGGGGTGAAATTAATAAGTGTCCAAGAACTAGGTGGTGGAATTTAAAAAAATGAGAAAATAGACTTATTTAGAGACAAATTAATTAAAGAAGAAAAATGGAACTCTGAACATGAGGTCAAAGTTATGTGTATTAAGAAAATGGCAAAAGAAGTTTTAGAAGAATCTAAAGGGAAAAAAAATTAAATAAGGAAACTTGGTGGTGTAGTGATGACGTTCAGAAGGCCACTAGTGAAAAATGATTATGTTATAAAACTTGGCAATGTAATAGAAATTATCAAAACTTAAAATAATATAAAAACGCGAAGAAAACCGCTAAACAAATAATAAGTAAAGCTAAACTTAAAGCGTATAATAATCTATACAGTAAATTGAGAACAAGAAAATGTCAAAAAGATGTATTCAAATTCGCAAAAATGAGAGAGAAAAAGTGTAGGGATCTAGACCATATTAATGCATTAAAGTTCGGATTGAAGGGTCTTGGTGAAGAATGAAGACGTCAACGAAAGGTGGAAAGTTTATTTTCAAAAATTATTAAATGACAAACACAATGGGAACATAGCAGTAGAAAGAACCGTAGGCATAAATGAGGGCGGAGGTCATAGATACATTTGTAGGATTAGGATATCAGAAGTGAAAGAATCTTTGGAAAGGATGAAGTTAGGAAAGGCTTTAGAACTAGATGGTATCCGATAGAGGTTTGGAAGTGCATGGGGGAGATTGGTATTGACTGACTGACCAAGTTGTTCAACAAAGTGTTGATAACAAAGCAAATGCTAGATGAATGGCAGAAGAGTATTGTAGTACCTATTTACAAGAACAAAGGAGACATACAGAATTGTGTGAAATATCGAAGGATCAAACTTATGAACCACACGATAAAGTTCTGGGAGAGAGCGATTGAGCAACGCCTAAGGCATGAAATGTGTATCAGAAAACCAATTCAGTTTTATTCCAGGGAGGTCAACAACCAAAGCTACTTTCCCATGTAGGAAATGGAATGAGAAGTTTAGGGCAAAGAGAAATGACTTCCACATGGTCTTTTGTTGATCACTTGATCTAGAGAAAGCTTATGATAGAATACCTCGATATTTGATTTGCAGGGTGTTAGAAAAGAAAGGAGTCTCTAAGCACTTCATCGACTACATGAGAGATATGTATGATGGAGCACTAACTAGTGTACAAACTAGTAGAGAGACGAGTGAGTTTTCAGTGACAATAGGTGTACATTTGGGGTCAACCTTAAGCCCATACCTCTTTGTTTTAGTTATGGATGACTTAACTAAGCACCTACAAGATGAGTTACAATGGTGCATGTTGTTTGCAAGTTACAGTTTTGGTCGATGAGACCCGAAATAGCATCAACACAAAGTTAAAACTTTGCAGTGATTATCTAGAATTTAAAGGTTTTAAAATTACCCAGACGAAGACAAAGTATATGGAATGCAAGTTTAGTAACAATAGGAGTAGAGACGAGAAAGTAGTTAAGATTGATGGTCAGAAAATACTATAAAAAATGGACTTTCGATATCTTGGGTCGATAATCCAAAAAATTGAAGAGATTGAAAAAGAGGTTGCATATAGAAGTAGAGCTGGGTGACGAAGTGGAGATGTGCAACCAGAATTTATGTGATCCCAACATACCAATGAAACTGAAGGGCAAGTTCTATAGGACAGTTGTGATACCAGCTTTGCTCTATGGGGCAGAATGTTGGGTGGTCAAAAAACAATATACCCATAGAATGAGTGAGAAGAGACAGACAAGGATGTCGAAATAGATCAATGGCAAGCAAGAAGGGATATAATTAAAAAACGAATACATTCCAGAAAAAAAATATAGGTGTGGCACTAATAGGCGATAAGATAAGAGAGAGTAGACTTAGGTAGGTTGGTCTTGTGTAGCGCAGACCCAATACAACACTTGTTAGGAGGTGTGAATTAGTTCAAGTGGAAGGCTCAGAAAGGGAAAGGGATAGGCCCAAATGGACATGATTGGAAGTAGTGAACAAAGATATGGGGACTTATGGCCTCACTGAGGGTATGGCCATTAATCAAGTATCATGGTGGACCCGGATTCGAGGAGCCGACCCCAATTAGTTGGCAAAAAGGCTTTGACAATGATGATGATGATGAGATGTTATGTTATATTGTTAATTGTCGTTACTATTGGGATGGAATGCAATACTTTATATTAAATGACTCCAACAACTAATAATAATATATTAGAGAAAAGTATTGAATTAAAATTCTACTAATCACAAAAATCACAAATTCATATGTTTTGATGCATTCTTATATTTGTTATAATTTTTCTATTTTTTATTGACCGCATCACATGTTATGCCCCCACATCGAGCCACATCCCACATTGGACCCCCGATCGCATCGAATCTGCATTCCGCATTTGATAACCTTTTCACTTGAAACATGACAAACTTTGCTCAAAGCTACAAAATCATCTCAACATCCACCATAGGGGATCAAAATCCTGTAGAACCTAACCCTCTAAGGTTATTTCCTTTTGAAAATATAACTAAGTGGTTTGACAATCTCATACATATGTACACCTACATATATATACATACATACATTTGTACATAAATACGGATATATGTATGTATGTATGTATGTTTGTATGTTTTTATTCCAAATATAGGTGAACTCATGCTTCAGCATTATTTAGAAACAAATTATAGTCCTTGGACAAAATTTTGTTGCTTCTAAATCCAAGAAATCAACAGAATAGGACAAGAAAATAAAACAAAATTTTTGGGAAAAGGTTATATATGTCCAAAAATGTAAATATCAACAAGACCAATATATCTTGAAAATAATTAAGACAGTCTTTTAAAAACTTGACTGATTCACAGCAAAAACTTCACAATAAATGATCAGATTACTTAAGTGCGTGAGAACAAATACTCAAAAAGGTAAAGATAGTTTCAGTTTATATATATCTCCTTACATCCATCGAAACCAGATACTTCAGGGCATATTGGACATTGTACAGGATTAGACAGTGCCCAAGATTAGTTACCAAAGAGAAAAGCATTAAGTTAGTGCTGCTCATCAAATACATTTTTTAGACAATCAAATTGCTCATCAAATACATCTTTTGGACTATCAATCAAAATAAGTATAGAAGGAAAAAATGGACTCACAAATGCAAAGAACTCATCGTCTTTGCGCCCCTCTGGAGAGTAATTTCATACGTCTTGTCACAAAGATCCTGAAGGAATAATTCCAATGCTTTTGCTGCAGAACATCATCGAGTGAGATTCAAAATGATGCCATAGCTTCCTTCATGTACTCACACAAAACAGCAGAACAGGGACCTAAAAGATTGGGGGATTCTTATTGGGAAGAAACTTCCTGCAATAAGAAATAAGCATCTGCAGTTTCTGTGTGGGTGTAAATGTGTGCAGGACTGCACATGGGTGTGGTTTATATAAGGCTGAGGCCCTAAACAATCGAAGTAAGGCGCACCTTCAAATAGTGCCGAAATATGTTGTTTCCGTATCAGAAATCTTTATGTTGGCCTGAAAATTTATTTTCATCTCTGATAAATAGGCGTAGATTTAGCAGATCTATGAATACTTGAAAATTCACGGTTTGGATAATACATTACAAGTTGCATTGTTTCTAAGACTCGAAATCTAATTTTTCTCATGACCATACATCTTGAGGTCGAGATGATCAAACCGAGGGTTTTTCAGCATTGAAACAAACCCTTCTAGTGAATTTTTGAGGTGCGCCTTAATTTGATTATGCCTCACCTTTATATAAAATTTTCCTTATATATATGCCGTAGCTCGAAAAAAAAAGGAATTTTTGTTTACAGTTTATATCTATTCTCAAAACTAGTGAAATCGAAATAATTTCATCAAAGAATTTATGACCTAGGCATGTTCTATATAAGGATTTGTCTGTTGTGTTTACTTTCTCTTTATTTATTTTTATACTAGTGTTGGTAGGACTTTTTCCGTTTTTTCTGCTCTATAAAGTCATGTTCTTTAACATTCATAGTTTTGGCTCCCTTTGAATTAAGGGTCCTTTTAATGATTATATTAGAATTCGAGTCCCAGTTCTCTTGATCTATTGGCTCCTGGGGAGAAGCCCATGAAAAACCAGCAAAATACACATTTTTATTTGTTTTGAGTTTAGGTGTTACTGGGGATTTAGGCATTAATTGGAGTTCCAAAAGCCTTTTTTTTATTGTGCAAATATGTCTTTAGATTTACAATTCTTATTACCCTTACAGTTTAATTGTCTTTTTACGATTATAAATCTTCCAAGCAATGATGTAAAACTCCTACAGCCCCACAATGCTCAAGTAATATATCAGCAAATGGACATTCACCCACTAGGAGAAGTCAAAATGATGTGGAAAGACACTCACATACTAAAAGAGGAACTGCCATTGCAATCTTCCCCACATCCTCATCTGCTTGCATAATCTTCTTTATACGGGACTGCCAGATCAAATAAAAGAAAGAGTATCAGCAAACATGCAGATCTAGAGACCCCTTCCCCCCCCCCACACACACACCCAAGAAAAAAAAAAACAAGTACCCAAAAATATATGAAAAGGAGACTACAGTCAATTGCACAAAAAAACATAATTGTTGGGTCATCACTGTCCATTGAAATGGACAATGAGGTGTTCATCACTGGTAATACTCCCTCGAACTCTGGCCATCATTTTCATTGACAGCAATGACCCAATGACCGATGGTTTCTCCATAATCCAATAGATTATAGTATAGTTTCCCGATACTAAATGCCTGTGTTATGAAAATTCCAGTTATATCTTAGCTGTAAAATTTGAAAATATGCTAGGGCAGGTTTTCTTTAGCCTTTTGTTTTCTTTTGTTCATTTTTTTCTTTTCTGTAACCGAACAACAAAAGACCCTTATCCACCAATTATGAAAAAGTATATACTCTCTCAAAAAGAGCAAGTTCCGGAATGATATTACAGAGCTAAATTGCTAATGCATTTCATAGATTGACATACAAAGACATATTTATGCAGAGAATGAACATATGTATGCATGCTAACTTAATTGGCTTTGGTTACTCTCATTTTTTCAACTATCATAGTATTTCTACTCAATGAGGTTTCAATTAAAATTGAAGTACTACACATTGATTCTTTAAGATCCTACAAAAATCACATTCCCAAGAAATCACATTTCAGAACTAATGCATACACCAACTAAATCCCACAAGGAAGAAGTGGCAAGGCCTTTTTACTTATTTAAAACGTGCCATTATGGCCGGAGTCAAATGCTAAGGCTCCTTTCTTCCACTCTTAATGCCAGCACTAGTTCTGGCTATTTTCTAAATATCTGATAGTTAGGTACCACTAATGGCATTATTTTAGTATCACTAGGTACCACTAATGGCATTATTTTAGTATCAATATTGAATTTCGAACACCATCATATCCCCTTCTATATATAGGACACCTCTCCAAGCCCTTCCCCCACTCCTTTTCCCTTCCCACACCCTCAAGATCCCTCTTGGTTGGCTCACTTGGGCATTGTTTGCTCCTTTCTATGGAAACATCACAAACTTGATAGATGTTGGAGAAAAAAAAGTATGAAAGTAAAACTCTAGGGTATGGTCAAATACTCGTCTTCAAAGTTTTCATCTTAGCTTGGAAACCTGATTGCCCAATCAAGTGAAAATTTTGGCATCAACTTCGATATTATATTATTCCTTCGAGAACAAACGTAGAGAACATTTGCTATATCTAGTATTGAAGCTGAATGCAAGCCATAGAAAGTACAGCAACTGAGCTTACTAGGGTCTGGGATCCTCTGTAATCTCTGGATAATTTAAGTGCTGCAATATCTAGAACCACTCAATCATGTTCTGTGACAATGTCAACGCAACTCATATGTATGTTATCCAATTTTTACCATCCTATATTGCATGAAAGATACAGATTATTACTTCATCAGCACAAAGGTCTTGTACTGAGATTAGAACTATGTGCCTCCTCTGCTACTCAGTTTGCTAACAGCTTCAAGCTTTTAATGCTGTATCTGAGAAATCAAATTACCTTTCATGTAACCTTTTCATTATTAATGAAGATCAAGGAGTGTCTCCCTTACAAATACATAGATTGATAATTTGCTTGGATCTAGCACCTAGCATTCCTCCAGGTTGGAAGATGTGTTTTGGTGCTTCTAACTATACAACAGGTCAGCTTCCTCACTGTTTGCTTTATCTTTGCTCACTTAGTCTTTGAAAAGGATAAATATCTTGCCCGCTAGCTAAGCACCAGTGACCATTCATCCCATTCAAAATATGTTACCCAACCTTTTGAATGTAAATGTCAGATTCAATCTCTTTTTCCCCATTCTGGTTCTCTTCCATCAGAGTACAAATCAGTAGTAAATTAATTGATGGTTGTTTTACCTAGAATCATTAGTTACTCATGACTCACCCAACGCTTGTTACAACTGTGTCCAATAAAGCTACACCAATCATCTTAGCTATTGCAACAAAATAGATACGACTAGACCAGCCTCTTTGCGATGATTATCTCTTATTTTCTTTATGTTCTCTGATACGATTTTTCTCATGAGCATGTTTTCTTTTATATGATTTGAGGTTAGACCTTTCCCCTCTTCTCAGGTTGGCATTTAAAAAGCTTGCAATCTTTTTTTGCCCTCTGACTTTTATCTCACGATTTGATGTAACTTCACATTCGTATGTTTTCTTACAGCACATTGATTCTCGACATGTCACAAATAAGAAGATTATCTGCAGTTCAAAAATTCATGGCAATAATTTATGTTATCATGCATCTGTGAAGCTAAGGCATCCTCTATTAATGCTTCCACCTTGAAACCATTCAGGAGGGATGAGGTAGGTTAGCTAGGATACAAACACAGTTTCATCTTCTATGTTTACTTCTTTTGTGATCTAGGTGAAAGCTTTTTTTCTTTCCTGGGAAAGTTGACTTTGTGTATATGCGTGCATAAGTTCTTTTTAATCACTGCCATCAAAATAAAACACCCGAATACACCTATTAGCAGGGATCATCTCACTAAAGGCTCCCTAGGTGGTGTTATCAATATTCCACGTCACAAAGTTGAGGGAAGAGGAAATCAAGATTGCTAGTATCACTCTCACCATAGATCTAATTTATCTTTTTTTCCTTCTGATAGAGAAATGTCAAAGACTAAATATCCCTGATCACATCATCCAATTGCCCAACAAGTGCACAATTAAATTATCATTAAGAACCAAATTATGTTAAAATGCAATAAGTTTTTATGAATAAGATAGCAGACACCCTAAAGATAATGCTTCAGAGCTTGATAAGACCAGGAACTGAGAAATGGGGTTTGGAGAGAAGGATTTTCAACCTTGATAGTATCAAACTTGACTTAAAATGTTGCATGTCCTATGCTTCGTATCATTTATATCAAAACTCAGCAATCCCAAGTCAGACTTGCTCGAGTTTCAAATATTCGCAAGCTGCTGAGTCTGAAACCAAAACGATAGGGCCCGGCCCAGTCTCACCGATGCCCAATATATTATTATCAACGTTCTTAGCACTCAACTGAGTCTGTCAGAGTCAGACTCAGCCAAGTCTGAATTTCCTGAATCGGACTCGCAAACCTAGCGAGTCCCAACCCTAGTCATAGTTCTATGCCACTGCTTCCTGTCATGCAGAACCTCACCCTATGTAACCCAAAAACAAATAAATATATTCAAATGAAACATTGAAGGCATAAAACAAACATCACAAGCAAATACACGTACCTAACACATGCATACAAAACATACACATCCAAACACACACACACAGGGAGGAAAGAAAGAGAGCGAGAGAGAAGACACACGTATAAGTATGTATATGTAAACGGATGAATGCATGCATGAAGTATGATGATTCATAACAAACCCATGTGGGGCAAATCTCAGAGATGAAGATGAACAGGTCCTTTGGTGTAATCAAAATCTTAAAGCAAATTGCTATTTCTAAATCCAGTTCTTGTAATGATAAATTAACGCCCATCACATGAAACAAAACCAGAAGCCAGAAACCCCCAATCCCACCCGAACAAGAAAACCCTAATCGCAAAACCCTAAGAAACCAACCCAAACCCGCAAAACATCCAACCAAAACACGCAAAATATGACCAATCCAAACAAAAATCAACATAAATAAAAAAAAACAGATAATCAGCTATATCAACAGAAAACAGGTAATAAACACTCAAAAATCAGTAAAAAAAATCACAAAAAAATCAAAAAAAAAGAGAAAAAAAAAGATGAAATCCCTTACCGCTGGAAAACGAGTATCGAGCTTCTTCCTCATGGTGCATCAGATACCAGCCATCGAAAGAGAAAATGAAAAAAAAATAAAAAATAGAGGAATATTTCACGAGGAAATACAAAGTTAAAAAAAAAATAAAAAAAGAGGAAAAAAATGTAAAAACAACGAGGCTAAGCTTTGTAATTTTAGAGGGAAACGAAGAGCTCTGCAAAATTCTAACCGCCAAAAGATTTCCCACAAAGCGATGGTAACAATCCTTTCTCCATTTTGGCGGAATTTTTCGTGCTAGATTTAACCAGGGTTAGCTAATTCGTTATCCTGTTGTGTTAATCAATGAAATGACTATTTTGCCCTTGTACTATTTTCAATGAGAGAAATTATCCATTTGTTTTCATGAAATGACATAGTCCTCGTTCAAAGGGTAGAAGAGGGAAAGTAACTAATGGAGGGTTGGCATTGTGATTTTCTTTTTTTTTTTATTTTTTAGTCTAATGGCCCAACCTAGCCTAGCCCAAGCCAACGCTCCTTTGGCCAGACCTATTTGATCAGTTTTGGACCAGCTCTAGGGGGACCGGCCATTGCTAGTAAGGGTGGCAATGGATCCAACTAGACCCGGGACCCAACAGGTAAACCCGACCGGGACCCAACAGGTAAACCCGACCTCGGGTCTAGATATGGGTCCAAAATTTGGACCCGAAAGGTCGGCTCCGGGTCTAGTAGGACCTGAACCGAATAATATAGGTACATGTTATGTGCGTATTTATAAATGTTACCAATACGTTTGTTTTTTAGGAATTTCCAATTATTATGTAAAACATTAAGAAATGTGATGTTGCCAATTATATAAATATATGATACTAAAAAAGGTAAAAAAAAAAAAACTCATAGTCATGGGTTGGCAATGGACTGACCAGACTCGAAACCTAAAGGGGAGACTTAGGATGCGACAGGTTCGGGAATGGGTCAAAATTTTAGACCCAAAAAGTTGGGTCTAAGTCCAAAACCTAAACCCGAATACTATTCGGGCCCGGGTCCAGTCTGATTCAGCCGGACCCAACCTCTACCCGACCAGTTGCCACCTCCACTTGCCAGGCCGCTCGCGAGTTGCACACTCACGCCTCTAACAAGGTTTGTGAGAGATTTAAGACTGGAAATACATCTCCAAAACAATGTAAATCCATTTCTACTCGAGATCTAACCCGGCCTATTGCCAGCAATACTTGTGAGTTTGCCAGTTCATGCATCCACCTAGGTTTGTGAGAGATTTAAGATTGTAAACATGTTTCCATATCAATGTCAATCTATTCCTAGCTAAGATCCATCAATTTGAATCAAACATCATATTAGTGTAAATCTCTTTTGGTTTTTGATCCATCAAGTTGCTATGAAAACACAACTATGATATATGGGGACTTATAATAAATGAAAACAAAGGTAGGTCAAATTTTATTCTTTTTCTAGATTCGTGATTGTGGTGATCGAGATGTCCACCTATGGAAATTTTTTATTGAAAATCAATTTCCGATATGAATTTTGAAACGGCTCAATGTATACGTGTATCCTTAATGCACCTAAATCTTACCATCCATGTGGTTGCAACAACAATAATGGTTATATGCTTTGGGATTGTCTATAAATAAGACCATTATCTTTTATACATGGAGGTTACAATCATTAGTGTCCCTTAATTTTCAAAATGGTTGGTTATAAGAGTGTCATTGAATAGACACAAAGTTCCAAAAAACAAAAAACTTGAACTTTGTAGTTCACTCCAAAATGATTGTGACCTCCGTGTATAAAAAATAAATGGCCTCTTTGTAAACCGGTCTTTTATGAAAGTTGAATAAAGCTAAAACAAGAATAGGCGTGTACAAGTCAAATTTTAGCCAGGACCATTTCCTTCCTCACCATCCAACCCATTGATGCAATGGTGGTAACCTTGTACTCTTGGGAGGATATGTACCCTTTGTAAAGTCTCTAACTCTTTAAGGCCAAAGGAGTATGTGTTGCTATTTGTGTATATGTTTCTTCCAATTAAACCCTATAGTATTTTTAGGATTCCAAAACTTTTGAGGGCAACTTTAACTTAGTAACTAACTCTATCATTCTGCTCTGTCAATAGTTATACCTTCAGTGAGTCGGATTAAATGTCTAAGAACTTAATTTTCAATTTATTTATTTTTTAATTACTAAGTTGGTTATTCCATAATGTGTCCCAAAATTTTAAATTAAATAGGAAATGGAGTGGGGGTATTGATGGTTAGGGGGATAAGTGCCTCAATATAACATCCTAGGCTCCATTCCCTCTGTTTAAAAAATAATAATAATAAATTAATCCTCTCAATGCGAAATTTCCAACCAAAATAACGAAATATTGGAAATCAAGGCTAAAGTTATTGGTGGGCAATGGGAAGGGAGTCCTGGCCTTGTCAGAGTAGTCGTGACTTAGGCCTCTAAAGTTGGTCCAAAGGCCCAGCCCAAGTCTAGAATCTAAGTCTAATGCTTGGGTAGATTCACCTTGGGCCAGGGCATAACTCGATCCATAAATTGGGTAGGGTAAGACCTCCCAATCCTACATTGAGCCTGACCTGGGCTTGGGTCTGGCATGGCCTGTCCTGGCACATTGTCAACCTTCAACTGAGATGTGCTTCTACGCTCACCTAGGGGTGGTAATGGACCCGAACCTGACCCGGGATTAGACGACTGGATCCAACTATGGTATGGGTCCAAAACATGGACCGACGGTCCGGGTCCAAATATTGGACTCAAATACTATTCGGGTTTGGGTTTACGTGGGCCCGACCTGACCTGAATAGTGTTATTACTTAAATAATATTTAATATATAATATTTTAGTAATATTTAATTTATATAATTATATATTCTAGTTATAATATTAAATAATGCATTTATATATCTAACATAATATTTAAATATATATTTTTTTGGGTTGGGTCTAATAGGGTCCAGGTCGGGATCCCATAATTTTTTTTCAAGTCTTGGCCCGGGTCCGGCCTAAGTCCACCCCTAATCTAACCCATTTACAAACAAAAGAAAAGGAAGAAAAAAAAGACTTTACTGAGTTTTTTTACCATGGTGCAAAATCCAAAGTGGACATAAAAGTGTAACGCATTCTTGATAATACGAGGAATTTATAGGTCAGTCAATAATTCAGTGCACATGTTGGATCCTATTTGAATTCTACAAATGTTAAGGGTATTTTGGAAGTTAACGAATTTAATTTTGCCAATAATCTCTTCCATGGAGGTGGCTTACCAGGTTAAAAAGATTTTCCCCTTAAAAAAAAGGAAAAAGTTTATATAAGGTTGTAAATATAGAATTACGGATGCGCCACAAAAATCCATCGGAAAAATTGCTTTCACGCTGAAAAATGCTCTAATCGATCATCTCGACAACGATATGTATGGATATGGAAAAAAAAAGGATTTTGAGGCCCAAAAAGAGTCCATCTTGCAACACATTTATCTCGACCATCCATTTTCAAGATTTTCATATGTTTATACGTCTTCTTGATTTTAATTATTTTTAAAGTATAAACTTTTATAATTAGATATAAAAATAGTCCTTGAAATCATCTTAATAATTTTTCATACTATAATTATATAATATGATAAATTTTGGAATTGCACCTTAATTGGATTATTTAAAGGTTGCAACCTTATAGAAACCACACCCCAAAAATATAGTACTATCGCAGATTTCATGGGTCCTATTTGTACAATGCGTCAACTTTAAACAATCAAAATAAAGCGCATCTCTAAATTATAGGGAAAGTAGGGGTCGCAACGGGTCGGGTCAAGTATGGGACTCAGACCCTTACCCATATCCAAATTCACCGGACCCGGACCCGAAAATAAAGTGTGGAACCATGAACAAGGTCTGGACTCGGTCGCACCCGAACTGTATGGTTTGTGTAGAGCTAAGGCTCTAAACAATCAAAGTAAAGCGTACCTTCAAATAATGTCGAGAAATGTGGTTTCATACTGAAATCTTTGTGATACCTTAAAATATATTTTCATCTTCAATTATAAAATTTAAAGCTTAAAAAATAGTGTAGATCGAGCATATCTATGAAAACTTGAAAATCTTGAAAATTGATGATAAAAAACTGTGTTACAAGACACTATTTCCAAAACTTGAAATCCATTTTTTTTCATGTCCACGCATCTTGATGTTGAGATGATCAATTTGAGGATATTTGGACATCAAAACAACCTCTTCTTGTGAACTTTTTGAGGTGGGCTCTAATTTGATTGTTTAGAGCCTCGGCTCTAAATAAACTTTTTCCAAAATAAAATATCTATGTAAATAATAACCATATTTAAATATATATTATATATTGAAATTAATAGACCTAGTCCACCCAGACCCGGCCTTACTCAAACCTGACTTGTTGGGTCCAATTTTTGGGCCCATACCCAGACATGTATCGAGTCTAACCCTCGACTCCGGGTCCATTGCCACCCCTTGTCGAAAGATATAATTCTGTTGCAGAAACCGTGTGATGCTCGTAAAATCTACTTTTTATGCCTAATTATGAACTCTAGAGCTCCAAAACCTGTACATATGGAATAGATCTATAAACGTTTAAAAATCTTAAACAATGATGGTTCAAAAAATAAGTCACAAGATGCATTATTTTCAATGCTTGAAATCTTTTATTCTTTTTTTTTTTTTTTTTTCATATTTATGCATCTCGAGGTCAACATGATCAATTTGGATGGTTTTCCAATATCAAAAAAAAAAAATTTCATTGAATTTTTGAAGTGCACCTTACTTCTGAAACTTTTCCTTTTCCGGTAACCGATTTCTTTTCACTTACTCCAATTCGCTTCAATTCATTTTCATCTTCTTTAGAAATGATGCCAAATGATTAGGTTACTCCTCTTAATTTTATAAACATTGGCTTTGTTTTGGTCATATTCTTCAAAGTTCAAACTTATGCCAGAAAGTAAGATGCTCCCGCGGGAGCATATTGTCACTTCCCTCCCTTAGAGCAAATTGCGACCCCATAGATGTAACCTCGTCAACCTTTCCAATAAACTTTAGACAAAATAAGAGCAATTATTAAGAAACTAAAGATATTCTGCTCCCTCATGAATATACTGTGCATTTTACTCCTTCAGGAGCCCAAATTTTGGAGATATAACCTCGCTAACACATAGATTAACATTAAAAAAAAAACTAATGGCACCCTCTAAGTACTTGAAAAAAATAAAATGTCTCAAGATTAAATAGAAACCATCCAATTTTGAGAGGGTGAG